CTGTCCTACACGAGTGTCTGGGCAGCAGCAGAGCTTCCTCTGGGCAGCAGGGGCCTCATGTGCACGTAGAGGTGTCTCGAGCAGTGAAGCCTGAGCCCCAGACCCCCATGCTCCCTGCCAGAGAGAAGGGGCAGGGGGAGCCCTGCAGGTCTATACCAGCACGAACATGCACGGTGGGCAGCAAGTCACAGAAGTGCACGCTGTGGGTGTGTGTTTGCACATGTGTATGGACATGTGTGTGCCCATGTGCCATGAAGACCCTGGCTGGGGGTGGAGGGGTGTGTGCTGGGTCCTGGTGGCATCTCTGAGGACGTGTGCAAGGTGGAGGGAGTGGGGCCTACCCCAAGGCCAGGATGGATGGAGTCCAGGGGCTGCAGGGTCCTGTCAGAGGCTCAGGACTGGTGGAGCTGGTCCATTCGGGGCCCTGAGGTCCGGTCTGGACAAACCTGCTCTTTCCCAGATCCGGGGACAGGTACCGGGGATGCAATCATGAGTGGGACCCCCTGTTCCTGACCCACCGTGGACCGAGGAGCCTCCCATGGTTGTGGCCTGTGTACAGGCCGCGACCACTGTCCCAGAGCCCAGCTGTCGGCCACCGTCACTCACATTCCCTTGGCACTGCCAGCCCTCAGTGGACGCCCCCGCAGGCCGAGAGCTGCCTGGACGTCGGCATTGTGACAAGAGGCATGAAAGACCCCTTTGTCCTGGGGACGTGGTGGCCCAGCACCGTGCCTCCACGGCCTGCAGCAGGAAGCGGGCCGGGGCTGAGTGAGCCGAGCTCCCGCCGCAAACAAGAGGCGTTGTGTGTTCAGCGCTGCCCGCTGGTGCCCTCGGCTGGGCTGGCACCTGGCACGCCCAGGCCACCACTGGGTGGGGGACAGGGGCAGTGCCCGGTGACTTGGTGTGTCTGCTTGTCAGTGTGTGTACTTGTGAATGCACATGTGTACCTGTCTGTGCGTGTGGGTGCTGTTTGCACACGTGGGTATATGAGCATCATTTGCAAGTGTGCATTTGTGTGACTTATGCATTCCTGTGCATGTGCACACATGTGTACACGTGTGGCTGCAGCATGGGCAGGACCATCCCCCCAACCTGAGGCCATCAGGACCCCGCCCCTCACGCCTTTCTCCCTCTTTCTGACCCTCGACCCCACCGTGAGGTAGACACATCATTTATTGGTCTCTCTCCTGGTGGCAGAGGGGCCGCGTGCCCCCATCTCCCAGATCTCAGAGCTGAGTGTGTGAAGGAGCAGGAGGATGGAGGGGAGGAAGCAACAGCCCCATGTGTGCTTCCAGGAAGGTGAACTGGGTCTGAGTGGAACAGAGGGGGATGTGTGGAGGGCTGGCTCGTCTACCCCGGCGTCCGTCCACCGTCCCCAGCCCGTAGTCCCAGTGACTGTGAGCGCCTGACAGTGAAGGATGCCTGTTTGTGAGCACAGACCAGCCGAGCCTCGTGCTGGGCACTTGCGCCCGCACCTTCCCCTTGGTCCTCCTGGGTTCCATGCTTCCCTGGGAAAACCAAGCCTGTGGGATGAGCACCGCTTGGTTGAGGCCCCGGCTGGCACCCTGTAGTTCAGGATTTGAACCCAGGCCCAGGCCTTTCAGCCAGCTGTGCTCACTCTGGAGCCTGGCCCCATTGCAGTGTATCCCGCAGACTGGCCAATGTGGTGCGGGCATCGGGACCCGACCTCTAACGTTGCCCGTGCAGCCTGACTGCCTGTCACTGCTGCCTATTCCCGATGGCTCGGCCCCTCTGTGCAGCCCGGCAGGTGCTGCAGGGCCTCCCAGATCTTGAAACGTCATTTCCCTCCTGCCTGATCGCAGGGAAACCCCTCGCCTGTCCTTCGGGCTCTTTGCTCAGGCATTGCTCATAGGATTCCCAGGCATCAGGGGCGTGCATTTCAATCCTGTAGCTTCCTCACGGGTTAAGGTTTGTACTCATTGGTGCCCAACGAGGTTTTGTGCCATCTTTTACTGTCACCAAAATGATGCATCGGGGACAGTAGGGCGGCTGTGGGGACTTCTGCAGGAATAATGAGCGGACGAGGGAAAGAGGCCCCAGGGAGGCATGCTGGTAAATGCAGCGGGCTCGTCACGCCGCCGGTCCTGGGGGCTGGATGGAAGTGCGGAGGGGGCTCCTCCCAGAGCCAGCGCCCGCCGCGGCTCTTCATCATGGAGACGTTTTCAGGGCAGCCGAGGGGTCCCGTGTCCCCACGCGAGGCAGCGAGCAGAATAGGCGCCTCTCTGTCCCGCATGGGGAGCCGCTCTGACCGGCTGGAGCCTTTCCCACACTGACTTTTCAGTTGAACGAGGGACGTCTCCAAGTCCTGGGGTCTCCCTGGCTGTCTTAGCTGTGGCTTCGGTGACAAAATACCATAATCTTCAAGGCTTAAACACAGACGTTTATTTTCGCAGAGTTTTAGAAGCTGGAAGTTGGACATGAAGGTGCCGGGTGATCCGGTTTCCAGGGAGGGATCTCATCCCGGCTGACAGACAGCTGGCTGCCCACTGTGTCCTGGCATGGTGGAAAGAGAGAGAGAGAGAGCTCTCTTATGAGGACACTAATCCTGTCAGATGAGGACCCCACCCCTGTGACCTCATTTAACCTTATTTACTTCTGTAAAGTCTCCACATAGTCACATTGAGGGTTAGGGCTTCATCATATGACTTTGAAGGCACGTGATTCTGTCCGCAGCATGGCCTCGAAAGGAGTTGGTCTCAGGCTCTTGAACAACCCACCTCACTGGCTGTGGATAGAAAGATGCCTGGGTCGAGCCCGGGGTGGCAGCACACTGCACACAGGGCCCGCTGCTGTGCCCATGGCAAGCATAACTAATCAATCCCAGAACTCTTCTGGGCTGTGCTCCCTCCAGTTCTTCAGGTGGCTCATAATGGTTTGTCAGAATTGGCAACGACAAGCCAGTCCCCTGGATGCCATTCTTAGTCTGTTTTCCAAACTGCCTCCCAGGTCCACCCCTTTGTTAAGACTTCCCAAATCCACCTGCTGTGGAATGGTCCCAAGGCCCACGCCCTCGCTGGGGTGGGCTCTCTCCCAGGTCCCCTATGGCCCTTTACCCACCACTCTTGCAGAGACAGTTACTACCTGCGGGGCTGGCTGCATCATTGGGGGATCTCATGGAACATGGAAATGCAGGGACCCTTTTAGAAATTATTAAGAATTTCAAGATATGGAAACAGCACAGCATCAGCCAGCACTGGCCCCTCTGAGCACAGATCTGTGTGTGCTGCCCAGGTGCACACCCATGGAGCCCCCTGCGCCATCCGGTGAATGCCACGTCTGAACACACATGAGCATGCACACACGTGTCTGCAAACCAATTGTTTACATGGTTGGTCCTCTTTCCCCTGCTGCGAGAAATCTCAGTGAAATAAGGATCCTGGGCAGCAACAATTCTAGGTGAGGTACACTGGGGTCCTTTGATTTCTGTAAATAAAGGAAAACATATGAAATGGAAAAGAAAGCCCAGGAGACAGCGGCTGGGGAAGCTGGGGGGCCTCTGAGCCTGTGCCATGTGTGGGGACAGGGGACCCTCCCCGCCCTGCCAGGGTGGTCAGTGAGGCTGCATCTTAGACGCCAGTTCTCTGCTTCTCGGGGCCCAAGGGGACCAGAACCTCCATTCCCGGGAAGGAGGAGTTCCAGCAGGGATAGCACGGAGTACCCACTCCAGACCACCTGGAGGACAAGCCCCACCCGAAGAGCAAGCAGGTCCTGAGACCTTGGCATGGACGAGAATTGGGAACGGGGGATCCGCACGGCCCTCCAGCTCCAGGGCAGCGTGAGGGTGCGGTTGGTGTCCTTGCATCCCGCGGGCACGTTGTTTTGCTCTGTGAGCGCAGGGCCAATGCGTGAAGATGCATCTGTTTTCCCATAACCCGGACCCCAGCCTTTACCTCTCCTTTCCCTGTGAGATCCTGGGTTTCCTCGCGTCACCACCTGGGCAGCCAGAGTTGGGGGTAGGCCCTGGTGTGTGGGAGCCTGCGTGTCGATAACTTCGCCTGGAGCTAACCTAAGGTCTGGCAGGTCTGGCGTCCCACCTGTATGCCCAAGCTTTCTGACTGCACGCCCTCCTCTGCTGTAGATCCTGGTTTTGTGAAAGTGTGGCCAACGCAGTCATACGTGTGGTTAGAAGGATGTACACCTCGTCCTAATTCAAAAAATGGCCAGTAGTCCTGAGGTTCCTTTCACGACGCCTACGTGAACACGTTCTGTATCTATGTTATTATGAAGTCCTTGCTTCTAGGCTTTTCCATCAGAGAGGACTCTGCAGGCCGCTCACCACCTTGAGCCGCAGGACAGGGGTGGGTTCCCCGGGAAGAGAGAAGCACAGCTCTCCTGCCTGGAAGAAGTTGGGTTGGAGTCACCGTGCTATTCAGGGGCTCCCCCGGGGTCTCCCTGCTCCTGTCCCTGCACCTCCCTCCCCTCGGGTGAAGACAAGGACAGGGGATCCTTAGTCTTGGGTCCTGACGTCGCTGGCACTGGAGCCAGGGTCACCCCCAGGGAGGGCTGTAGTCACTGTAATGTCTGCTAGTGCGTCAGCCTGATGGCAGCCTCAGCCCCCCCTTCTGTGGCCCTCACTCCCGGCACTGACCCAGGCCGTCCCCACAGCATGTGGGGGGTGTCCTGACCAGGAGCACCCCTCCCCTTGTCCTTTCCTGGCTGTCAAGTGGAGTCCAGACAAAAGAGAGAACTAAATTGTCCCCCCGGGAAGGGGCCGTGGCTGCTCCTCGAGCCCTCAGTAACTGCTTACTGAGTGGCCAGCCGCAGAGCCAGACTTGGGCAGTGAGCTGTCAGCTAGGAGACCAGGGGGAGGAGCCGACCGGCCAGGCCGCCCTGACTGGCACCAGGTGCTTCCCACTGGGCCGTCCCATCCCTGGTGTCCGGCGCGGAGACCCAGCACAGGGAATCAGGCCACGTCGGGTACCGTCCCCGGTCCCAGGTGAGCAGAGCAGCGACTGACGGGCTCTCCCTTCTCTCCGCAGCACGGATCATCAGAACGAAGCAGTGGTGTGACATGCTTCCTTGTCTGGAGGGGGAAGGCTGTGACTTGTTGATCAACCGGTCAGGCTGGACGTGCACGCAGCCCGGGGGGCGGATAAAGACCACCACGGTACGTATGTGGATCTCTTTGCCTTCCTGTGGGGGCACCGGGAGGGGAGAGGGCCTCAGGTGGACACCAGAGCACACGAGGGGAGGTGGACCCGCAGCGAAGATGGGGATGGCCAGGAGCCAGTCGCTGGCTTCCTCCTGTGGAGAAGCCACCAGTCCTTGCCTCCTCCCCATCCTCCTCTCCACCCTCTGGGACCGAATCCTCTGATGGTGGGTCCCTGGGCTGTCCCCGCCCAATCGGATGGTCACTGAGGTTGCCTGCAGGCTGAGCGGCTGGACAGAACCGCCCTCAAGGCTTGTCAGCCCGTAAGTTACCATCCAGCCGTGGAGGATCCTTGGTGAACAACGTCTTGTTTCTGGGGTGGCTGTGCTCCCAACTCCAGGCTAGAGAAAGGGTAGAGGCTCCGCAGAGGAGCCTCAGAAACCTCCCGTGGGGCGAAGGGGCCTTTAGAGAGGAAGACTGGGTGGGAGGTGGTGGGGGTCTCCTCCTGCCCCAGGCACCACGTGGCTGTTGAGAGCAGAGACCTCAAAAGCCCCTGGGCACGTCAGTCCCTCCCAGATCCCACCGAGGGGGCACACTGTGGACACTGGTTCTAGGAGCTGAGCCCGACCTGGTGCCACGCTGCTCGCCCACAGGCCAGAGGCAGAGGGGCGAAGGGGCTCTGGGGCCGACCTCTGAGACCCTTTACTGAAGGTCAGTTCGTCAGGGCACTCTCTGCGATGGTGCCACCTAGGGAGCTGGCGCCGCCCTGCTGCTCGCATGTCCACCAGGGGGACGCGGGCTGCTCCACAGGCTGAGGCCTGCCCGGCGGTGGCCTCCACCTCCTGCTGGCGTGTGAGTCTCCTCCAGGAATTACGCAGAGAGGTGGGGCCGTGGCCCCTCGGGACCAGAGGGAAATCTACCCGTGGTCCCCCTGCTCCTGCCTTAGCAGCCTCCGCATGAGAGCTCAGAGGGGCTGTTCCAGCCGTTTTTTTCAAGAGGCCAATCTGATGTCGCTGCTCCAAGGAGAGCCTGAGATGGTTTGGTCCCACCAGGTGGCAGGCGCTTGGGGTTTGAGCATGTGGCCTCTCGGGGCAATGATGAGGGTGAGGCTGTAAAGCCGTGAAGCAGGCTGGACGCTGCGCGTCGGATTTCTCGGAGGCCTCTTGTGCCTGTGGGAATTTGGGCAATTCAGCCTTGACGGCAGCTTCTCCTTCTAAGTCCTGGGCCTGGCCTGGGAGTGCCCACCCCGAGCTCGCTGTCTGTCGGTGCAGAGTGTTGACGGCTGGGCTGGGGTGAGCCATCCTGGGCAGCCCAGTCCTGGAACTGCACCATGTGCTTGTCTGAGCAGTTTGCTGTGGTTGTTTACCCGCATTCGAGACAGCAGCCAGTGGTCCTGCCCTCACACCTGCGAAGTGGGCTGGGATCTCCCAGCTCCTTACCCACCACCTGCCTTGCTGCTCCAAGGGGCCTGGCGGGCTTCTGAGGTGTGGCTGCCACCTCCACGAGCGTCTGAGAGGAGGTGCTGACCTTTCTAGGTCACATCTGTGTGCCGTTCTGGAAAGAAGGAGACCTGGGGACAAGCAGACCCCTGGGCGGCTGAGGCCACCATCCCTGGATCCTGGGACCCGAGGGTCAGGGTGTGGATGCCCAGCAGGACCCAGGCAGCCCTGTGTGCCGGAGGCTTTCGAATGAGTACCCAGAGGAGGTGAGGCCTGGAGGGCAGGCCCCAGGCCACCTGCCCACTGTGGTATCCCTTTGCAGATGCGTCCTGTTTTCAAGCTGGGGGAAGGTTCCACTCCTAGGAGTCAGTCCAGACAGGCGATGATAGGCCGAGTGCCTGGGAGGCCTCTGTCCCTACAGAGGGACAACCCTGCAGCCCCAGGTACCAGTCTGCCAAGGTGGCCATGCGCCCCGGGGTGTGGCTGGGTCAGGCGGCACTCAAGGCCCCACGTGTGGCAGCTCCCGTCAGTGTTCTCACAGGCGAATGGGGCTTCTCGTCTCATCAAGGCCCCGAGCCCTTCCCAGCTCCCTGTGCTCTGCCCCCGGCCCCTCGGAGGATCTGTGGGGACAGCTGCATGGAGCAGGGGCACCGAGCACCCTGGCCCGCAGCCCCTTCAGCAGGCTCGGCCCCCCTCTCTCTGCGGGCGCTCTTCGGTTCCTTGTCTCACTCAGAGAACTGTGCTGAGACTGGGGCAGTCGCTGCTCTGGTTCGGCCCCACAGGCCTGGGGGCTCACAGTCATCATGCTTTGTAGCCGTGAAAATTATAGCTCAGAGAAGTTGAGCGACTGCCGACGGCCCGGTGGTCAGGATGCTGTTGGGGCAGGTTTCAATCTGCTGGGTCTACCCACCTCAGAAGCTGGCCCTGGGTTTGCATGAGCCCCACGCCTCTTCCAGCTCAGAAGGCAGATTCTCTGACCCACCCGCCCCAGAGGGCGCCTGCTGCTGTGGCAGGTGTGCAGGCAGCGTGTCTGCTGGGCCGGGGGCAGCAGGAGAAGCCCGCGGTCCAGGTGCAGGAAGGAAGCCTGCAGCACCAGGGCACATCAGGGAGGCAGGCTCCCTCTCAGGGTCCTCGGCTCCCCTGCAGGGGACAGTGTGAGCACGTGGAGGCACGGCCCTCCCTTCAGGGCGGAGCATTGCAGGGGGCTCGGCCACCTCCCTCCTACCTGCTGGCTGTGGTGTCCTATTTCCACCAGGAGATGGGCCTTGGCAGACCCCATTGAGTGGCTGTGTGATGATGCCAGGGGACCCAGTGGGCTCCGTTATCTTGTCAAGCATCTGGATATGGGCCTCTGGCTCTAACAGAACCCTGGCCTGGGGTGACCTGCTTTCACAGCTTCCTTACAATGTTAGCAGAGCTCTGGACCCAAACACCACATAATTGGAACCTGTAATCCCTCTTCCAGGATTGTATCGTGATTCTCTTCTGGATGGTCAGTTAGCGCTGTGGGGTTTCACGTATTACCGTAAATTGGTTTTCTGTGAGGTGGACTTTAAGTTACCTGATGATCGGTGGGCCCCATGACTGCCAATTCCATCCCAGCTGCCTGTTCTCAGCCCAGGCCCTCTGCAGCCACAGCCACAGCTGGAGATGGCAGACACCCCGACCCCACCTTGTCATGCCCCACCCCTTCTCCCATGGGCTGCGGCCATTCCCACAAGCTGTCAGCTGCTGGAGGGCAGACTCTGGGCCTTATGGTCCACTCCTCACTCGCCCCGGGCCTGCAGGAATGCATGGATCCACCGATGAGCTGATTAACTGAATCCAGACCCCAGCCATGTGCTGATGTTTGCATTTCCTAGATCACTGCTTTTCAAAGTGCAGGTCGTCACCCCATTAGCACATCATGAAATTAATGTCATGGATCATGACCAGCATTTAGAAGGAGGAGGAAGTGAGAGAAGGAGAATATTTGAGTGCATCCGTGTCGTGGGGTGACCACGCACGCCCACTGTCACAGCGTGAGGTGCGGTCGTGTTTGTAGGCAGCAGAGCCAGGCTGGGAGCCCACTGTCCTGAGGGGGATGCAGGGGAGGACCTGGCAGCTGTGGTGGCCTTCCAGGCGCTGCCTTCTCACTCTGTCCTGCTCTGTGGATGTTGGTCTGCACTGGGCAAGGTGACCCGAGTGGACATCACAGGATCTCCCCAAAGCCAGGAGCAGCACCCCCACGTGGGTCCTGCTCCCTGGAGCCAGGCTGGAAGCTGGCGGTCAGCCCTGCAGCCTCCTGTCCCTCAGCCCTGCCCGGCTCTGCCCCTCGCCGCGATGCTCCTGAGCAGACGGAAGAAGAGGGAAAAGGCTGGGGGTCGGAAGTGGGGAGTCAAGACCCACGCAGCGAGCAGAGCGTCCTCCTGCCGACTGCTGCTTGTCTCCGCAGATGTTAGCCTGCCAGGGCCGCAGACCACACGTGTTAGTGGTGTTCCACAATGTTCTGATCAGTGCTCCCTTGGCCACAGTTTGTAATGTTATATATTGCAAGATGCTCGATGGCAAGCTGCTGTACCATCTCCTAAATCAGAATAAAACAGCCCGGTTGAAATCCATTTTTCAAATTGCAATTAAGGACCACGTTTGGATTCTGTATGCGCAAACACCCCGTTGTGGGGCGCGAGGAGCACTTGGTGGGGTATCTGTACAGTTCTGTTCAGGAACTTGGATCTCATGGAGCTCATTCCGCCAGAGCACACTTTCCCGAGTGTGGGGAGATGCCAGGAAGACGCCCAAGCAGCAGCTGCCTCTGATCACGTTTGCGCCTTGACGTCCAAATTCTGCCTCGGCCCAGGCGTCCCAGGAGTGCACCGAGGCGAGATGTGGATGGCTCCCCGGGGGTCTCCGTTAGACGTGAGGAAGGGGCGCCCTGGTCTGCTTGGTACCCAACGGCCCAGCCAGCAACCTGCTGGTCAGCGCCTCTTGCTTCTTGCATCTGGCCGTAAACGAGCTGCTGACTTGGCCAGGCAGCCCTGCCTGCAGCCTGCCAGCTGGTTCTGGAGGTTAGCGCTCCCTGCAGACAGAGCCACATGACGGGAAGGCCCCTGGTGGGTTTCGTGTCCTTGATTCTTGTTGCGTGCTCTTTGTTAACGTCTCCTGAAATGCTGAGCGTCATCCACTATAGCCCTGGTCTGGAATTTAAGAGCCAGCCTGGTAGGGAGGGTCCCCAGCCCCTTCTGGCTGCACATTCCCACTGACCGAATGGACGGCTGGTCTTGTCCAGGCCACCCATGCAGGCTTAGTGCCCGTTCGAGCCAGGAACTCCTGCCCTTCAACTTCCTGCGAGCTCAAGGGTTCAGGAGGGGGGCAATCCTGGGAAGACCCTTTTGCAGAAAGCCAGCTTCACCCAGGGCGGCTCTTCATTCTTGGATTCCAAATGTATCACCCAAGGGCCTCGTGTGTCAGGTGTGGCCCCCACTGAGGATCCTTGAGAAAGAGGGGCCGGGGCCTTCTGCTCCAGAAACATGCCCACCGCATGGCTCCAGACATCCACAGTCAGCCAGGGTTCAGGGAGCACTCCCCCAAGCCGGGCAG